AAAGTAAAACCTTTGAAGCTCAAGTTTGTTCTTGAATGTTCTTATTTTAATCTTGAGACTTTATAACTTTCTTTGTAAAATCACTATAATTTGGTTATTCATAACTAGATTATTAGTGTTATTGAGAGATCTAGGATCAACAGGTTGCGTCTCGATGCAAAGGGGAAAAGTGATTGCCTACGCCTCAAGACAACTCAAAGATCATGAGAAGAACTATCCCACCCACGATTTGGAGTTAGCAGCGGTGGTGTTTGCTTTAAAGCTTTGGCGCCATTACCTTTATGGTACCAAGTGCACGCTTTTTACAGACCACAAGAGTTTGAAGTATATTTTTGATCAAAAAGAACTAAACATGAGATAGCGACGTTGGTTTGAACTGCTCAAGGACTACGATTGTGATTTGCTATATCATCCGGGTAAGGCAAATGTAGTGGCGGACGCTTTGAGCCGAAAAGAGTACGGTAGTGGGACGAAAGTTGTGCTTACTAGGATCGATATAATGTCCAGTTTGATCGATCGGATCAAGGTCGCGCAATCTGAAGCGCTCCTGGAAGAAAATCTGAAGAGTGAAGTAATGATGAAACAACGCATGATGTTGACAGAGGATGGTCGTGGCTTGAAGCTATTTCGAGGGCGTATATGGGTACCCAAGGTTGGAGGAAATCGTGAACTGTTACTAGAAGACGCACACAAATCTAAATACTCAATTCATCCAAGCAGCACCAAGATGTATCGGGACTTGAAATTGGTGGCCAGTTATGAAGCTAGATGTGGCTCGTTATGTAGAGAGGTGCATGACTTGTTTGCAAGTGAAAGCGGAGCACCAACGACCTTATGGTAGCCTTCAATCCTTGGAGATCCCCGAGTGGAAATGGGAGCATATCAGGATGGATTTCGTGACCAAACTGCCGAAGACCTTAAGAGGCCATGATTCGATATGGGTAGTGGTGGACCGACTGACAAAGAGCGCTCACTTCTTTGCAATACGTGAAACGTTGCCCATGGAGAAGCTTGCCAAGTTATACATCGACGAAGTTGTCTCAAGACACGGTATACCATTGTCCATAGTGTCAGATCGAGATAGCCGATTCACCTCCCATTTTTGGAGTGGCTTACAGAAAGAGTTGGGTACGAGAGTGAAGCTGAGTACAGCTTACCACCCTCAAACTGATGGCCAGAGCGAGCGGACCATTCAAACACTTGAGGATATGCTTAGATTGTGTATTATTGACTTTGGCAGTTATTGGGATTCTCACCTACCCCTGGTGGAATTCGCCTACAATAATAGTTATCATTCCAGCACCGGAATGGCACCTTTTAAGGCCTTATATGGTCGAAAATGTAGGACTCCTGTTTGTTGGCTTGAAGCAGGTGAGAAACAATTCGCCGGCCCTGAAATCATACAACAAACGGTCGATAAGGTGAAATATATTCGAGAACGTTTAAAGGCGGCACAGAATCGACAAAAGAGCTACTCAGACAAGAAGAGCCGACCAATAGAATTTCAAGTGGGCGACCGTGTAATGTTAAAGGTGTCTCCATGGAAGGATATTATTCGTTTTGGGAAGCGTGGAAAGCTAAGCCCCCGTTTTCATGGACCATTTAAAGTCTTGGCTAGGGTGGGACTTCAGGCCTACAAATTAGAACAACCACCAGAGATGGCCGGAATACATAACACATTTCATGTATGCTACCTAAGTGCTTGGTGGAAGAAGAAAGTGTGATACCACTTTCTGAAATTCGTGTTGATGAGAACAACCGATGCGTGGAAGAACCGGAACCATCTTGGAAAGCAAGATCAAGGTGTTGAGGCACAAAGAAGTTGTCAAGGTCAAGGTAAAATGGAAGCATCATCGAGGATCAAACGTGACTTGGGAAGCGGAAGAGGACTTGAAGAGGCGTTACCCGCACTTATTCGCGTGAACTAAATTTCAAGGACGAAATTTAATCCAAGGTGGGGAGGATTGTAACACCTTGGAATTCCTTCTTCTCCCTCATTCTCCATTTCTTTTCCGTCGGGAATTCTTCCATCCCGTTTGCAAGGTATATGTCTCTATTCATATTTTATTTATATTAGGAGTTTAGTATTTTTATTTATTTTATATGATCCTTTTTAAAGCAGAGATCTTTTTATTAATTGTCTAGTTGATATGTTAGGACTAGGTGTAAGAGTAGAAAGAAGGAGGGTGTTACCCCTTGTATTTTGACCCAATCCATTGAACATTCTCTCCTGAGAAGGATTTACCTTTAACCTTGGTGTCCCAGCCGGTTGTCCTTGCTGGGAAAGAGGGAGTCCTTTTTACTTTGGGGGGGAGTTTTGAAGGTCTTTGGGGGATAAGAAAAGTGGCTACGGAGGGCTGCAAATCGTGAGAGTAGAGAAGAAGGGTTGCCTCACCTTCAGTTTTCTTTTGAACTCTTTCCTTGAATCATCCTCAGCTACCACGTCAACCACCCTTGCTCCAGCCTCGACCTGTTCCAGCCGTGCCTACACCTCTTCGTCGTGCGATCGGCACACAATCGCTATGTTATGTGTTCTGCACACAGCTGCTGCTCTTCATCCAAACTTCACCCGATTGCTACGCTGTGCTCTACTCGAGACCCTCTGCCCCAACCGTTCCCGCACCCGGGACTAACCAGACGGCAGGCGCTGCCGTGTCGACCCAACCAGCAAGCAAACAGCAAGCAGCAGGTCACTGCTGTGTTGCTTTTTCGTCTTTCTTGCCCGAATAGCGGTCGTAGCCGAGCCATTTCCCGCAACAAGCGCTGCTGTGTCCCGTCAAAACAGAACCCGTGTTTTGTTGCTTCACCCAAACAGCAGCTGTCGGGAGCTGTTTCTTCGTCATCTTTGCCAAACAACCGTCAGCATTTGGGAAACAGCAGTCCTTACTGCTTTGCCCTTCGTTTTCGTTACCCGAAATAGCGACAAACAGCAGCAGCAGCAGCTGTCTGCGCTCCTCCGTTGCTTCTCGGATTAACAAACAGCAGCAGCATGTGCTGTCTGTGCTCCTCCGTTGCTTATCGGATCGACAAACAGTAGCAGCAGGTGCCGTGTCCGTGGCGTTCTGCATCGAGCCAACAGCAACAGCAAGTGTCGTGCCCGTGACTGCCCGCACCGAGCCAAACAGCAGAAGCAGTAGCTGCTGTATTGTGCTGTA